GCAGTATAAATGTCAGTTTAACACTTAATAAAAGTTTTCTTTTATTTTCCAACATCCTTCTTAAAAGTAATAATATATATATATATATATATTAAAAACATTTTAAAGAAAGGTGGACAAAGTTATCAAAACAAAAAAATGGCAGTAACTTTGCCGAACAGCAGGGGGCGCTTCACGGTCATTTTGTGTTTGCCCTCCTGAGGAGGGATCATTTTGGATGCATATTGCATAACAGCATGCATACTGCATAAGCATGCAGCACGAAGATGGAACCGCTGGGTGCATTTTGAAATATTTATTCAAATCTTTCATTTGTCTTTCTTTTTTGTTGTAAAAAAAAAAAAATATATATATATATATATGATTAGAATAATTAATCAATTTTGATTTGTGAAAATGCAATGCAGTGTAAAAAAACAAAAATGAAAATGGCAAAAGTCCAAATGATTTCTTAAGCTTACCCTTATTTCATTATTGTCAGCACAATTTCTGTTTTGCTCGATGTTATTTGGAAAGAACTGTTGAAATTAATTAGTATTTCAAACATTTCTATGAGGACGAGTACAATTTTTTTCCAGCAACAAATAGATCAGAATGGACCTCCTGGAAGCCCCAAGGCAGAAATCTTACGCCATAAAAGAAGGTGGAAGTGCTGTTGCCTTCCAGTGCTGTGGGAATTTCTAGTTACATGAACAGAGTAGTCAAAAAAGAGTTAAGAAAGGACAGTTTAGCAAAGGAAAGACACAAACAGAAGCTATATATTTCTTCCAGAGTTAGAATCCAAATTTAAAACCTTTTTTTAGGTTCTGGATTAAAGCTAAAAACTGAATTTATATACATTGCATTTTAGCCCAAAGAGTAAGCACCATTTACAACCCAATATCGCCACACTGATGAAGACCCATAAAAGTGGCAAGTCTATCTATAAGCGTGTGACCCAGTTTTTGACTTTTTTAGTGGTTCCTTTAAAATTTGGCAAAGTCTCCCTGAGTTTCATCACAATAAATCACTAAATGGATAAATCACAATATTGGATCATCAAAATACATAAGTATAATTTTAAACAAATAGAAAAAGAAAAAAGAACAAGCCTCTGTTTTATATTATGTCAATATACTGTTACATGTTTTTTTTTAGGTCATGTCTAAAAAGCAGGTAATATAATAATGTTTAATAATATTAATAATAATACTAACAGAAATAAAATGGTTGATACTTTTATAAAATTATAAAACTATTATTAAAAAAAGACAGAATTAAATGAGTTGCAATATATTTCTAAATAAGAAAGTTGTATTGTATGGTACACAGCATTTTAGAGCAGTTTAAAAAAAAAACTATTTGTGAAATTCAACTACGTTGTAACTAATAAGAGAACTCATAGTTCATCCATTCAATTCAGTTTATTTATATAGCACAATTCACAACACATTGCAACTCAAGGCACTTCACAGAGAAAATTCTACCAGATCATACAGTCAGTTTGGTTCTAGGTTTTTTAGGGAAAAACTGCTAATTTCATTGACTCGTTTACTATTTAGGAATGGTAGTTGGTTCCACAGGAGAGGAGCCTGATAAC